TTTGGAGGTGCGCCTCAATAGGATGGTTTAAGGCTGCAACCTTATAGAAACCACAACCTTTAAATTATATTAAGAAAGTAGAAATTTTTGATGGGGTCATAATCGTTGTGGTGAAACTAGTTAGCTGATAGGCAAGTATAACAAAAGTAGAGAGAGAAAGAGATTTCACATTACGTTGTAAACTATTAGGACCTCAATTAGCTATTATTTGGACCGCATTGAGTTATTTGAAATTTTCAATGGCCTCAAAGCAAATAAACCCTCCAATTAAAAGGATTTTAGGTATGTTGTATAACTTCACTTCTGTCAAATAAATGCAGCTCCTTACCTATGATGCTAAAAAGGCAAAGAAATTCAGGTTTATAGCAAAATAAGAAGAATCATAAGACCATACCAATTACAGCAAGAATTCTCCACTGAACAAAGAGCCCCAATAGGTATGCAATCATTATTCCAATTGTGACAGAAAGCTACAAAAGCAAATTCACCTTTGTTACATTGATTCAAGCTTGCATGGTGATGCCCATTTGCAATTAAGCTTTTTCACAAAAAAAAAGACAGTGACAATGGTGGGTATATGCCAAACCTGATTCACTGATCCAAGGCCGCCACGCAAATTTTGTGGAGCTATCTCTGCTATATAAACTGGAACCTAATAAGATACACATAATAAGGTTCACAAACCTTAATGATTGAAAGAACTAACTGTGTAGGATACGTATATCTATCTATCTAGAAAGAGGAGAGAACTAACTGTATAGGAAATAACCCCCACTCCGAAGCCTTCAAGCAACCTACCCATGTACAAGAAGGATGAATCCTGTCGGAGATTTGTGTACGCATAAGAAAATCAGTCAAAATTTCAACTCACAATGACAGATTTGAATTACCTAAACAAACAAAAAAAATGAGTTCATAGAATTTCGTTTGCTGAAATGGGTGAAAGATTTACTTTGGCAAAAGAAATGGCCAGCCATCCGATAATGTTGGGTATCGAAGCGATCATCAGTGACTGCAAGCAAAGGAAAATAATATCTCTCATCAGATTGTTCATTACATATCAATCAACGCACACACAGAGAGAGAGATGGAATTGAGTCCAGGTGAATTACCCCTTTCCGCCCGATATACTCAGCAATCTGACCGCTGGCAATTGCCCCAACCATTGCCCCCACATTTGAAAGGGATCCAAACACAGAGAACTGTTGATAATTGGGGGGTTAACGATTCGAAGAAACAAAATCCCTTACAAAAAAAATAAAAGAGATTAAAAATTCTCAGGCATAGCCTAAGGATTCCTCACCTCTGAAACAGTGAGTCCCAAATCACTTCTGATGGCATCTTGGGTGGGCGATGAATACCCATTCTGCAATAACCGGCCATTCTTTATCAACCAAAGATAGAGAAAGAGCAATAGTGAAAGACTTCTGCCAATCAAGGAGAGGGAGAGAGAAGAAAGTAAGAGAGAGGGAGAGAGGGAGAGAGAGAGAGAGTTACAGTGAAGCCGAATTGAATCGGACCCAAAGCGACAATCATGGTGCAGAGGAAAACAGAGATGGAGCTGTCTCTGATGACCTGAGCAGAGGAGCCATACTTCTCCATGAGACTCGACTGCCTCGAACCCATCCTGTACCAGCTCCCAGTGTGCAAAAATGGCTTCCGAAGATCCCTCCCATCATCTGTATCTTCTATGAAACTCATCTTCTTTCCCCCTCAAAGCACAAGAAGAAACGAGCAACCCTCTCTCTCTCTCTCTCTCTGGAGCACCCCAATTCTTCCACTCCCTTAATCCCTCTCTCTCTCTCTCTCTTGTCTCTCTCTCTAACACGCATTTAGGGTGTTTTATTATAATAATGAGCTCTCTATCTCTCTCTAACACGCATTTAGCGTGCTTTATGATAGCAATAAGAGAAGAATGGTTGTCGTTGATGGTTGGTTGTGGAAGAAATAGTGAGGTGGCGTTGTCAGTGAACGCCGAGGTCTGTCTGTCATTTGCAATTCCCACTAAAAATTACCCAAACTTACAAAACAAATCATCGTTTTACCCTTGAACCTCAACTGATCTGCGCGGCCGTTTAACGGTCTCTGAGGGTATTTTCGTCCAATCAAATTCAGTTAGGGGCGCTAACTCATATTCGTGTTTATGCTTGGTTCTTAGCCATAAGAAAAAGGAAATTTGTTTCCTCCGGGCTGGACCGCATTTCTACGATATGCGGTTCAGATGCAAATAAGTAGTCCATCTAAAAACAAGGGTGCAGTTGGCACACGGATGCATCCGTTCTAAAAACAAGGGTGCAGTTGGCACACGGATGCATCCGTACCTCGTGCGCTTTCAACTTTTATCATGGTATATAATTTTGATATAAAATGTTCTTAAGATTATCTCAAAATCTATTTTTATATCTAATTATAAAATTTTAAATTTTAAAAATAGTTAAAATCAAATAGATCTATAAACATATGAAAATCTTGAAAATAGACGGTGTGGATAATATGTTGTAAAATACACTATTTTTTAGACTTAAAATCTTTTTATTTTTCATGTTCATATATCTCGATGTCGAGATTATCAATCAAAGGGTTTCTCAACATTAAAACTACCTTTTATGATGGATTTTTTAGGTGCATCCGTCGTTCTACATTATAAGGTTGCATCCTTATATAAACTCTTTCCTAAAACACAATTGTAATTGACGGTCCAAATGCTTTCTTGATATAAATTCTATTTTTAGTTTTCAAAATTTATTTATTTTCTCATATTCATATTCATGATCTCCATGTTAAAGATTATATATTTTTGAAAAATTAGGATCAAATTATATTTTAAAAATATATTTATTGCAAAGCCTGGATTTTTACAATATGCGGGCTAGCAGCATAGAAATCATGTCCAGCCCGCATATTG